GGACAGACGGACGGACAGACAGACATGGCTTAATCGATTTCTCTATTCATTCTGAGCATTTATGTATACATTTGTCTATATCTATCTCGATTCGTTTTGGCTGTTACAAACAACCGTTATGTGAACAAAATTAATATACCCTTGTGCACAAGTGAACTCGGGTATAAAAAGGGCACAGTTATGGCAGAAACCGACCCAACCTTTGAGGCTATATACATACATATTTGTATCATATGTAATTGTAGTATACAATTTATCAAATGGGATTCAGTATAAAAAAACTTGGTCATTTACTCTCTGAAAAGAAAATTAGCTACGGTTATCCATTAACGATGAGTATTTAAAGTTTAGAAATTTTGCCACCTTAACACGCACCCAACTTTGTTTACCATTAAACAATTAACATTGGACCGTATGATTAAAAACTTACCCATTGCTGTTTGCTAAAATTTTAGACTCTCTACTCAATTTATTTAAATACATGTAAGTAAAAGGTCTGAAATTTATACACTGCGAAAAAAAATTAAAAAAAAAATAAAATTCTGCTAAATTTTGAAAAAAACACGCATATGAAAGAGCATCAACTCAATTCGTGGTAAATTTTGGTACACAAATTTTAGTATTTAGTATGGAAATATTCAATTCAAATACGCCTATATTAAAATGAAGCAATTTACTCTTCGCGGATGGCGTTTTGCTTTTCCCGGATGCTTTTTCATAATTAAAATTAACAAAAATAAATAAATTTAATTTCCATGCTGCCTGCAATGGGATTTGAACCCTGATCCTCTGAAATTAACAAGCATCTTTGCGAACTCAGCTACAGCCAGACATTAAAATTTAAAATAAAAAAAAATCTACTAAATTAAAAAAAAACACGCATATGAAAGAGCATCAACTCAATTCGTAGTAAATTTGGGTACACAAATTTTAGTATTTAGTATGGAAATATTCAATTCAAATACGCCTATATTAAAATGAAGCAATTTACTCTTCACTCAAAACTCAAAATAAATAAATTTAATTTCCATGCTGCCTGCAATGGGATTTGAACCCTGATCCTCTGAAATTAACAAGCATCTTTGCGAACTCAGCTACAGCCAGACATTAAAATTTAAAATAAAAAAAAATCTACTAAATTAAAAAAAAACACGCATATGAAAGAGCATCAACTCAATTCGTAGTAAATTTGGGTACACAAATTTTAGTATTTAGTATGGAAATATTCAATTCAAATACGCCTATATTAAAATGAAGCAATTTACTCTTCACTCAAAACTCAAAATAAATAAATTTAATTTCCATGCTGCCTGCAATGGGATTTGAACCCTGATCCTCTGAAATTAACAAGCATCTTTGCGAACTCAGCTACAGCCAGACATGTAAATGTGACATCAAATCTCGAGTTAGAATCAACACCACAGCACGGGTGCGAAAGTATTATTTTTAAATACGAACATTTTAAAACGATAATCAAATAAAGAATACTAATTTTTACTACATTTTTAGTAAAATTTTTCTTAATATTACAACGTGTTTTTTTCACTCAGTGTATGTATGTATATTAGGGTGATTCAAAATTTAAACTGTTTTGAATTTCGACTGGGAACGTTCGGATTCTTGAAAATAATAGGGAGGACAAGTTCTTTCTAAAATTTCAGCTTATTTGAACAAGATTTAGAGGTCGCTCAACGCTGTTGTTTGTTTGCCGGAAACTGCAGATTTTAAATGCATCTTTATAAAAAAATAGGTACATTTTCATCAAATCTTGTCGGGTTTCGTTGAAATTTCGTAGGTAGGTTCCCAAATATCGGTTTGTTAGAACACAGTTTATATTAGTTTGATAAATTAGTTTTAAATACATATATTAATTAGTAAGTAACTAAGTTGTGCCTTATAAAAAATGAATATTTGCAATAATTTTTTGTGTTCCTTAACCAGTGAGCATATGCTTAATACATCTAAGATCATATTACAATTCATACCAATAGTGGACCTCATCATTAAATATTACTAATCATCAAATAAAAAAATCACCAGATAAACATCACTCATACGCCATGTTGAATCCAAGTGTTTTCCCCGTCATTGCAAATATTAATATTATAATAACAATATTTTGGCGCATGCACCTTTGTCAAGTGTTTGGCTAAGCTTCTCTTTCAATTTATGGTGTGGGTCTTGATGTTGTGACAAAAAGGCCACGGACCTACAGCTTTACGCCGCCTCCGAACAGAAATGGCTTTTGCGAGAAGCTTTTTTAAGGCAGAAATACACACGGAGGCAGTGTTGGGAGTTAATCAATTAATTTTTCTATCATACCGCTAATACCCAAAGAGCAAACAATGATTTCGATGAATTTTTCAAGCCCTTGTGTTTATTTCAGATATAATAATGACATAAAACTATTACACATGGTGCAAGTGTTTAATAACATCTTTTTTCCTCGCACTTGGAATAGTTTCTCGGTGCTTCCGAACTGTCAAAAACAATGCTTTTTTTTGCTCCTCACTTTTGGCATGCACGTTGTTGAAGCTTTGAGCGAGCGCAACTCCACGCTCTGCTGTATCGTTTACAACTTTTAAATTCCTTATATTTTTATTTATTATAATTCTCATTTGTTGGCCAGTTTTCAACATTTTATTTCAGGAAAGTAAAAAAAAAATGTTATATATTTTTTTAGAACTTTATATTAAAAACTTCAACAAACTTACGTCCGGTTTCCAATTCGTTTTATCACTAAATTATTATTTTTAGCACAAACAAGAGTTCCCTATATTTGTTGTACTATAAAACTTCATAATTTTATTAAATTTGTTTTCTTGTTCAATAAATGTCAAATAACAATTGAAGCAACACAATTAAAAACTTTTGGATGGGTGAAAAATTTTGCAGCGGTGGAAAATATATTTTCACAGATAAAATCACTTTTAAGGAATTTGAAAGTTGGAAACGATACCGCAGAGCGTGGAGTGGCGCTCGCTCAAAGCTTCAACAACATGCATGCCAAAAGTGAGGAGCAAAAACAAACATTGTTTTTGACAGTTCGGAAGCACCGAGAAACTATTCCAAGTGCGATAAAAAAAAGATGTTATTAAACACTTGCACCGTGTGAAATAGTTTTATGTCATTATTATATCTGAAATAAACACAGGTTCTTGAAAAATTCATCGAAATCATTGTTTGCTCTTTGGGTATTAGTGGTATGATAGAAAAATTAATTGATTAACTCCCAACACTGCCTCCGTGTGTATTTCTGCCTTAAAAAAGCTTCTCACAAAAGCCATTTCTGTTCGGAGGCGGCGTAAAGCTGTAGGTCCGCGGCGTTTTTGTCACAACATCAAGACCCACACCACAAATTGAAGCAGAAGCTCAGCCAAACACTTGGCAAAGGTGCATGCGCCAAAATATTGTTATTTACTATTAATATTTGCAATGACTAGGAAAACACTTGGATTCAGCATGGCGTATGAGTGATGTTCATCTGGTGATTTTTTTATTTGATGATTAGTAATATTTAATGATGAGGTCCACTATTGGTATGAATTATAATGTGATCTTAAATATATTAAGCATGTGCTCACTGGTTAAGGAACAAAAAAAAATATTGCAAATGTTCATTTTTTATAAGGCAAAGCTTAGTTACTAACTAATTAATATATGTATTTAAAACTTATTTATCAAACTAATACAAACTGTGTTCTAATAAACTGATATTCGGGAACCTACCTACGAAACTTCAACGAAATCCGACAAGATTTGATGAAAATATACCTGTTTTTTTATAAAGATGCATTTTAAATCTGCAGCNTTCAATAAATGTCAAATAACAATTGAAGCAACACAATTAAAAACTTTTGGATGGGTGAAAAATTTTGCAGCGGTGGAAAATATATTTTCACAGATAAAATCACTTTTAAGGAATTTGAAAGTTGGAAACGATACCGCAGAGCGTGGAGTGGCACTCGCTCAAAGCTTCAACAACATGCATGCCAAAAGTGAGGAGCAAAAACAAACATTGTTTTTGACAGTTCGGAAGCACCGAGAAACTATTCCAAGTGCGATAAAAAAAAGATGTTATTAAACACTTGCACCGTGTGAAATAGTTTTATGTCATTATTATATCTGAAATAAACACAGGTTCTTGAAAAATTCATCGAAATCATTGTTTGCTCTTTGGGTATTAGTGGTATGATAGAAAAATTAATTGATTAACTCCCAACACTGCCTCCGTGTGTATTTCTGCCTTAAAAAAGCTTCTCACAAAAGCCATTTCTGTTCGGAGGCGGCGTAAAGCTGTAGGTCCGCGGCGTTTTTGTCACAACATCAAGACCCACACCACAAATTGAAGCAGAAGCTCAGCCAAACACTTGGCAAAGGTGCATGCGCCAAAATATTGTTATTTACTATTAATATTTGCAATGACTAGGAAAACACTTGGATTCAGCATGGCGTATGAGTGATGTTCATCTGGTGATTTTTTTATTTGATGATTAGTAATATTTAATGATGAGGTCCACTATTGGTATGAATTATAATGTGATCTTAAATATATTAAGCATGTGCTCACTGGTTAAGGAACAAAAAAAAATATTGCAAATGTTCATTTTTTATAAGGCAAAGCTTAGTTACTAACTAATTAATATATGTATTTAAAACTTATTTATCAAACTAATACAAACTGTGTTCTAATAAACTGATATTCGGGAACCTACCTACGAAACTTCAACGAAATCCGACAAGATTTGATGAAAATATACCTGTTTTTTTATAAAGATGCATTTTAAATCTGCAGCTTCCGGAAAACAAACAACAGCGTTGAGCGACCTCTAAATCTTGTTCAAATAAGCTGAAATTTTAGAAGGAACTTGTCTTCCCTATTATCTTCAAGAATCCGAACGTTCCCAGTCGAAATTCAAAAAATTCCAATTTTGAATCACCCTAATGTATATACACATCAGTGGTATTTGTGCTCATAACCTTTTTTGTTTCCATTCTAGTGCATTGCTGCTCTTTCAAACTTGTATTGGCGTAGCAACGAAGAATCCGTCGAGGGCGATCGATCGCAAAAAGCGCCCGCCTTAGATTCGCACGAAACCGCCTATGCCAGCAATTCGCGTGCCGATCCTGTGCAAGGTATGTCACTCCGGGAAATATTTGTTACCAAAATCTTATCGTTTTTCATTCAACCAAATGCAGCCAGCAAGACGGATTCACATTTAGTTGCGCATGCGCCTAGTATGCTGTTGCTTTTGCTGGTGGCGGTGGCCGTTGCTAGCGGTTACCCTGAGCAGCTGCACATGTGGCAGCAGCTGTCCACGCCCACACAATGGCTGCATGAAAATTTCAAACAAAGGCGAAGAATCTTCAAACAATATCAGCAACATAAAAAACTACAGCAATCAATTGAAAAACGAATTGCTTCATGCAAAAGCTATTACGTAAATAGATCATCTAGATGGCATCTTAAGGAAATCAATGAAATCGTGGAACAGCAATTCAAAGGAGCGCACGAGCTGACATTTTTTTTATTTATATGCGGAAATTCATCCAGCGTTGACTACAATAACAGCATCCGCCTGGGTGACATTTGCCACCATTGCCGTCGCTCATTTCCTACTTCTCATTTTCGTAAATATTAAAGCGGCGTTGCCAATTAAAAAAATTATGCACCTAAGGTAACTACGCTGGGAAGTACGGAGTGTAAACAACGAATTGAGGTATGCGACCGTGCTATTGGCAAATTTTAAGAAAAAATTTAAAGATGAAAATTCAATTAAATTAAAAAAAATTCGAAGGATAATATTCAAATGCGATCGCTAAATAGATTGCTTTAGTTTAAAACATTTACATACTTATGTTCATTATGTCGAAATAATGTGTTGTGATTGGAATAGGTAGTCCTAAGCATCCTGTAAACGGCTCATGAAGTCGTTTTTCCAAATAAAATATTTTTTTTTAGTTTTTTGAAATAAAAAATTGTAGGATTTCTTAGAATATTTATTAAGCAAAACTGGTTTCACAAATGGCACAAATTTTCATAGTTTACTTTGCGAAAATGAGATTTTCAATGCGAAAAAATAAGTTGTATAACAATTATATCGTCGTTTAAAGTGCAAAACCGCGTATCAACAAAATGCAAAACCGCGTATCAGCAAAATGCAACACCGCGTATGTGAAGTTGTAGATATTATTTTCTAGAGCGTAAAAACACTCATATTTCAAAATGGTTCTCTTTTTTATAAAGCATTCGCATTTCTGGCTAGTATATTTCAGGACGAATGGATAAGGATTGAGCCAAGAGTTTATGTGAGAAAATCCAATTTTTGGCAGCCAATGTCAGTTACGTGGTTTTGCAGAATGACGATACGCGGTTTTGTACTTTAAACGACGATATACATGTATAAGTATTATCTAATGGGCTAACGGCACTAAAGCAAATTTGTGTTATTTCCCAATTGAATGTGAAATAACACAAATTTGCTTTATTTCATTTCTCGTTGAGCAATAAGACCAACTTTTAAACGTAACAATTGAGTAATAAAGCAAAATAGTGCACACAGGTAGTCACCCAGTCCCAATTGAGTGTGAAATAACACAACTTTGGTTTATTTCATTTCTCGTTGAGCAATAAGACCAACTTTTAAACCTAGGAATTGAGTAATAAAGCAAAATAGTGCACACAGGTAGTCACCCAGTCCCAATTGAATGTGAAATAACACAACTTTGGTTTATTTCATTTCTCGTTGACCAATAAGACCAACTATTAAACCTAAGAATTGAGTAATAAAGCAAAATAGTGCACATAGGTAGTCACCCAGTTACACTTGACAAAAAGTAACACATGAAAAAGTTAAATGGACGGATTTGTAAGTATACAATTTTGAAAGTGCCCAGCGTCGCGGCGGTTCGCGTTCGCGCGCCGTGCCCCGCCACCCCGCGCCTTGCCTCGCCTCGTTCGACGTCGCGCTCGCGCTCTCGTCCCCCGCCCCCTCCCTACCTTTCGCAATTATGAACTTGTGGCATTATAATCATTTAGAAAAAAAGAATAAAATGACACTAGTGCACTTCTGAAACTGCTTTTTAATGTCCAAGTTATGGGAATTATTGCGTATGGTGTTATTGCCTGCACCCCACCAATGGTGGAATTTTACCAGGTGAAGTAATATTAGAGTGAGAAAAAGATTTTGACACTGACTTATTTGAAAATTTGCATATAAAATGTGACTATAAGGCAGCCGAATGTCAGAAAATAAAGCGATAAAGCTGTTTTATTACTTCACCTGTTTATTGCGCCATTCGTCCCACCTGCTTGTACCGAGTATACATTCAAATTTAGAAGTCTGAGAGTAGGTAAAATTTTACATATTTTTACATCACTACTTCGTACCACATGTTCGCTTCGTCTTCCTAAACGAAATTCACATTTCGGATATGGTGAAACCAGTAATGATAATGCAGAAACTTAACTGAAGATAAAACTCAAAACAATAGTCTCTGTGTTAAATACTGCGAACAGGAACGGCAACTTTTGTTTGTTCCATGCCATGGCGGAGTTATACCAGGTGAAGTAATTAGAGCGAGAAATTATTTTAAAAATACAATGCAATGTAGAATAAAAAGATTGGTACTAAATGAAACACAATTAAAAAAAAATATTAAAAATTTTTGGATTCACAAGAAATAACATGTAATTTTTTAAGCTGATAAAGTTAGGACGAAATATTTTTTTATTTATTATTTATATAAGTCCTTAACATATAATTTTTTCAAAATAATGCGAAATATCAAGGATAACATTTTAAAAGGACATTTTCAATACTTACCAGTCCTTATGCACCAAAAAATTGAATCTGATTCAATTTTACAGAATTTCCTCTATAATTTTATGCCCATACTTCTTCTCTAAGTACATTTCACTGAACTTTTTAAATCATTTTTTAATTACTCGCGTCGGAGTGAAAAACTAAAAACGCAGTTTTACTATAATTTCGCGAATATATTGATTTTTGTGTGTAAAATTTACTATCGCGCGGTGTTATATGTATAATGAGCTGGACATTTATAAAAAACTATTAATTATTAAATAAAAAAAGAAATAGAGCCAATACTGGTCCAGAAAAGGAGTTTCTATTATTGCTATCAGTGCAAATTACAAGCATCGACCCGGGATTTTCGGCACTTTAAAAAGGCCCTAATATGTACATACTCTATCTACTAAGCGACACCATACGCCATATTTTGTTTGGTACTGCGATTTCCTTCAGACTGTTTCATTTATAACTAAATGTGTTGGTGAATGCCCAGCAAACGCAAACCCGTGTGTGATAGTTCCCAAATTGATTTACTTTATACATCTAGCAACGCTGTAAACCGCGGTTCCATCTCCAGCGATATTAGCTTTGTTCCACACGCTTTCCGGGCTGCTCCGGTAATTAGAGCATAAAAATAAGTTACTATCTCACAAGTGCCAAAAATGTGTCAACACGTGCCAAAAGTTCCCAGGACGTGAGGAACGCAAAAAACCACATTTCGTGCTCGGAATCAACAAATCAGCTCTAAGCAATGATTTTACGTGTATTTATCTTATACATAAATTTACCAAATAACTACATTTTCTGATAATTCTGTAGTACTTTCCACTTTTGTGTTTCATAAAACTTGCTTTCGGATTTAAACAACAACAGCTGTTATTTAAAATTGCCCTTTTGCACATTTGTTCCCCAAAAAAAAGTTGGGCTGTTTCGTGCTCAAAGAAGAAGACATTTGCGATCCAAAAGTGGACCGTATTATCTATCTATTACCCATTTTTCTAGCATGAGGAACGCTAAACTTAATGAATGTATTTACGCGATCAAATTGTGATTGTTTTTTATTTTATTTTCTATCTTTATTGGAAACTAAACTGGGGGCCCAACGTTGCAGATAGAGTGCGCAAAGCAACAGTGGCACTATATTCCTGCAGCAGAGCAATAGGGGAAAAATGGGGGATGGAACCCAAAATAATACACTGGCTATACACGGCGGTGGTTAGGCCAATTCTCTATCACGGTATAGTGGTATGGTGGAACACCCTTGGGAAAGGGGTAAACTTCAAAAAAATGGACAAGGTTCAAAGGCTTGTGTCCACACTCATAACTGGTGCGATGAGAACAACAACATCCAAGGCACTGTATGCCCTACTGAATTTTCTTCCGGTGGACCTACGTGCCAAACAAGTCGCAAGTGGCGCGGCATTTCGAATGAACATTCTAAATAAGTGGTCAAATACCAGTTATGGTCACGGTAGAATATTAACGGAGGTTCCGGGGCTACCCGGATTGGTGGACTATGCACTTCCGTAACCTGCACCCGCTACAGCATTCGCGACCCTCCTACCCTCAAGGGAAGAGTGGAAGCATGACGTTGTAAGTAGTGGAGAGTCAATCCATGTATACACAGATGACTCAAAGCTCGAGGGAAGGGCTGGAGGAGGTGTATATTCCCATCACCTGGGAATCTCCCTCAGCTTTCGTCTCCCGGACCACTGTAGCGTTTTTCAGGCTGAACTGATGGCAATCGACAGTGCCACGAAACTGGTAAAGTGTGATATGATACCCCAAGTTGATATCTATAACTTCACTGACAGCCAGGCGGCAATAAAGTCCCTCACGAAGCAGTCGACAACCTCCATGGTAGCCATGAAATGCCGCGCATCTCTTAACGAGATGGCTGAGTCATTTCGCCCAAAGGTAATATGGGTTCCGGGACACTGCGGCATAGAGGGGAATTGTAAGGCCGACGAACTGGCGCGACTTGGCACGAAACTTCCTTTTGAGGATATAAATGACGAAATAGGAATACCCTTGCAAACTTGTAAGCTACTTATCTCCGAGAGGCTCACTAAAGTAGCGAACGAAAGGTGGCAGGACGAAATCACCTGCAAAACTGCCAAACAATTATGGCCGGTGCTCAGCGCCAACCGCACTGGCCTACTACTGAGTCTAAATAAGTCCAATATTAGATTATTAGTATCCGTCATAACAGGACACTGCCTAATTGGCAAGCACGCCTATCGACTTGGCCTACGCTCACATGACTTCTGTAGAAGTTGTCAAGATGAAGAAGAGGAGGAAACGATTCTCCACCTGTTGTGCCAATGCCCTGCTCTATCTAGACGAAGACTCTCCACTCTCGGTAGGCAATTCTTCGACAACTTGGAGGACCTTAGATGCGTCGAAATCAGGGATATTCTAAAATTCGTTCAAAGTTCAAAATGGTTTTAGGAGGGATTGGGAGTTGCTGACCCAACATGCGGCATCACAATGGGCCCTGAGCCTAAGTGTGTCTTATAGACGACCGCGACAACCTACCTACCTATTGGAAAGTTTGTCTTTTTTCGATTGCCAGATGAATTGCATTTATACCAAAAAATTATATCTGTGTGGCATATTGAAGGAATTTTATTAAAAATATGTGAACAAATTGTATGGCAGCATGATTCTCTCACGGCTCTCTTTGCACTTAAAAACTTGACTTAGAAGTCAAAGATCTATAGATCTCCAAGTTTTTAAGTGAAGATGTTTATTTTGGGTAACAACATACACGCGCTGCTCATTTGCCAGATATACCATTTTCAAGCCAAGTCAAGTCCAAGCCTTGCATAACTGAGCCTTAAGTAAATAGTAACACAGTCATGCTATGTATGTGTGTATATTTATTTAATAAATTGAAATAAATTATATATTTAGTTACAAGCAAGATCGTACTGATTTCAACTGAGTTTTTGACATGCATGTACTTAATTTTTATCTCAATATCTGGCAGCCCTATCCAACAGTGACATAAGCGGCAAGGCGCGAATGCGCTGACTGTTTGATGACAGCAGATACTTCGTCTTGTCCCCGTAGACCACCAGACCCAATCGCTTTGCTTCCTCGTCCAACTTGGAAAAGACAGGACAGATTTCGCGGTTCTTGTTACCGATGTCATCGGCATAGGCCGGCAATTGTACGCTCTTGTAAAAAAATTTCCTGAGCGGATCAGCTCTGCGGCTCTTATTATCTTCTCCAAAATCAAACTAAAGAAAGCACATGAAACGGAATCGCCCTATCTGAAACCCCATTTGGTAGAAAATGGCTCGGAGAGGTCTTTCCTAACTCAACGTCATTTTACAGTATCAGTTTT